TTTTTTTTTTTCTTTCATTTTGTACTTGAATAAAAAAGAGTGCAAAAAGCTATATATATACTGATGATAAATTTTTTAAGATTATATTATGAAAAAATTAAGGTTTATGAGCACATGATCAATAGAATTATTTTAGCGAGAGAACGAGTTACGCCAGCGGCTCAATGAGGTCAATGAGTGGATTGCAATTTTTGAATCCACTCTTGATAGTGCCGAGCGTAGCATAGGCAGAAGACTGGAAGCAGAGCAAGGCTTGGCCACTCATGAGCCAGCAGTAATTAATGAGGAAGAGGCGGCTATGGCTCCGCTTCCTGAGGACAGTGACAACTGGATGTCATCTCAGGAGCCAGCCAGTTCAGCTGAACGAAGCACCGTGGTTGCTGAGACACCAATGGAAGTCGATGAGCAACCAAGAGAAGAAATACGGGAGCTAGTATTGTAAGTATTTATTTTTCAAAGTGAAAAATTTTGATCAAATTTGCACTTATCACAAGAGTAAATTTATTTTAATTTGCAGGAGAAACCGGACTATCTGCTTCCCGGTACCAGCTTCTCGAACGGTGCGATCTAATGCAGCGACCAAAGTTTTCCACGCTGCAGATGTCGAAATACTGCCGGACCATTTTAGAAGAGAGTTGGTCCAATCTTCGCAGGATGCATATAGAGTGATCACTGATGGTGATTGCTCGTATATAAGTAAGTGCTTATTTTATTATAAATGAGAAAAACCAAAAACTGCAACTATACTTTCAGTCTTTCAAAGCATTGAAAAGAATTTAAATTTCAGTTTGCTGCTTATGTGAGCGTCGCTTCAATACGCTTAAAGGGTGGCGTATACATGCTTCAAGAATGCATAGAAAAGACGGTATGTAATAACATTTATGAATTTTCTTATTAGCCAAGTGTGTGTTTTCTGTTGATATTTTTTTAAGTATTGCTATAGATTATTGATGCACAGTTTTTCAGGCTTTTGTTCAAGTTGTGGCCACTACTTGGTTTTGCCGTCAACGTTTAGTGCGCCCCAGAAAGAAGCAGCAGTAGAGCTCCATGTACTTGATTGGTGTCCATGGGCTCGAACGCCTATCATAAATGAAAGAAAAAACAAGCGACGTCGATTGGACCTTGTTGGAAGAGATGATGACGCGAGGCTCCTATTCATCCCAGGTTTGGTGATAAAATAATTCTATTATAGTAATAAAAATTTTTGAAGTTAATTTTTATTGGTAATATACTGTTATGCAATTCATGTCACTTCATGTTATCATGCATAGCATTACATATTTATTTCAGATTGATTGATCAGAATAAAGGAAATCAAAGTCAACAGTAGCATAATCGATCATCTGGGATTGTATCAAGAGAAGAGTCAAGAATATCCAACAATATATCAAGAAAGGCCGGCAAAGTTCTCAGAAATCTATGCACTATATGGTATTTGAGTTTGTTTGTTTTTTAACTAATAAATATGCTCACTTTTTCTTATTTTGAGATCTTTTATTAACTTTACTTAACTGAACTTTATTTGTAAAACTCCTAGTGCTTTATTTACAGATTTCTCAGCAATGAAGCAGCCGAAGAGAAATGTCGGAAACCTCACCGACGATGA